TCAAGTGCTCAAGAGTAATGCCAGCAGGTCCAGCAATTAGAACCTACAACCTAAGCTAGAATCCTCCTCACCATCAAGGCTAACTCTACATGACACCAAAGTGAGGTCCCTGATGTATGAGGAGGAACTCCTACTACTGTTACCAACAGTGAGAGGCCTACAGGACAGCCTGGAATTGCTAGAGAAATAAAGTGTGACGGGGTACTACCCATTGATCCAAAGGAAACATAAACCACGGTGTTCCAAATACTCAAAACAAATCAAGGGTTCTTCCTTTACATACCTCAACCTAGAAATTAACCAATTAGGGAATTTCAAGCAAACCCATAGAGACCCCGAAAGACAAGGCTTGCAGAATCTTCTGTACCATCCAAACGCACCAGCAAGAGGCTGGCCTAAATCGTAGTGTCATCATCCTAATCCCCCTTTATGGCAGTGAAGTATAGGACCCTGTCACCAACTCGGACCAACCCAAATGGGACTGGGCTATGAGGGAGGCTTTGCAATCTGAAACATTTTAGCCTTCTGCTTTATACAGCAACGCTTGATTTTTAATACATAAACTCTGTGGATTATGTATGGACTCCAGTGTTGGCGTAATCCATCTGGAATTCTGCAAGCACCTCCTCCAAGTCATTTAGAGCATCTCCAACAATGCTTGACAGACCAAGCATCGTTGGATACTAGGCATCCATACACTTCTTCCAAGTTGACTGGAGTTCCTCCAACTATGTTACCAGACTAAGATGGGCTGATTCCCTTTACTGCTTGCAGTACAGAAGAGGGCACTGTCATACTAGGACCACCAACAAAAGGAGAGGCCCCAACTCATACCGCCATAAAACCTTCTGATCAACGAGGATCAGGCCAAACCATGAGTCCTGTGACAACTCACCTTGTCTATCTGAAGCTTCCCACAATGCAGCCTGGCAACATTTCAAATAAAGGACATTATGAATGATTCCAAACAAAAATATGTCAGAGAATGCAGAAATTTACTAACAAACACCCAGAAACTAACTGCTGACCAGTCTCTACAAAATACAAACTGGCCCCATTCCTGGGGATGCTGCAAGATCCTAAATACAGATAGGCCCTGAGAATATGAAGATTGAACACCCAGAGCCTGGATAGCTGGGAGTGTCTTAGCAACGTCCTAGAAGCAAGGCAAGACAGGGAGATGCCATCTCGGGGAGTTTTTCAGTCAGGCTTCATGAGGTATGTAAATGGCCTACACCTATAGCAAAGGGCATTTCTCAACTTTGCCCATTTACATAGCCAGCTTTTTTTGGTGAAACTTACCTGTGCACCGCATACTAGCACAGTATGGCATACTTACCTTAAAGCAAACCTTTCCAATGGTGCGCGGTCACTACTGACGGGGCTTCCATCTTCACCCGGTCTTCCTTTGGGTCCACGGGCTGTCCCTTCTTGAATGGCAGAACTTCCATGAGATCAGTCCCATGGATGCGCGAGTCACGCCCACAGAACAGAGCTCTGAAGGGACGGCATGAGTATGCTGTCCCTTCAGAGCACTTGCGTGGTGACGTCACCAGCTACGTCCCATGTGAATATCTAATAAACACCGCACGTTTAGGAGATATATATTGTTCCTACAGGTATACCTTATCATAGGCTTAACTATGGGTACGAGTTCAAAAGGAAGGTCTACTACGGCTTTAATGATTGGCCCATCACTGTCACATGGGGGAGAGTCAGTCATGCGTAAGCTCTAACTTGAGCTTACATAAAGGTTTATTTTCTTGCACCTGATGGCTAAATGGAACAAAGAATTGCGAAGAAATGATGTCCTGCTGGTGGATCCGGCGATCAAGTGAACTTTTAGAGGCCAGTTCACGGAAAACCCAACCTCCATATTGCCCAATGTCAAAGGAAACCCATTTGGAGCTGCCAATAACCTAAGACTGTCTGACCGGCAGAGCTCTGGAAGGTGTTCTGGTGTGGCTCCATCCTCGGCCAACTAGAAACCAACACAAAGTAGATAAACCAGACTTCCAACTCTGCTCCTCCACCCAAAGGTACTAATAATTTAGGTGAAAAAGAGACTATGGAGGCATCAACACATCTCACATTCAAGTTCAAGTGTGAAACACGCCAGTCACTCCATGGGACATATTTTCCAAAAACTCATCCGGAGAGCCATTTATTTACTTTCCGGCTGGTCTGACACCCCCAACTTGTGTTCCTCATACAGGACACTTTATCTGACTCACAGGGTCACATGACCACCCCTCATGCAGCCCACACTGAATGCTGGCACCCCCTTCTCTCTTCTTCATCCCATAATAAAAATACATTACCTCCTCCTCACTGGGAACACACTCTCCAGCCTGGAACTCCTCCCTTCCTCCTCCTTTAGGCTACAACAAAATGGCAGCCAAGCAGACCCCCCTTTCCTTTCCCAGCTAACAAACTAAATTATTTTAATTTTACTTTTTATTAATACTGAGATATTACTATATATGTATTTTATGCAAATCTGACTATTTGTAGTCAAATTAAGAAGGAATGCAATAGAAGTGGAATGCAGGAGCTCTACGACAAAATGGCTGTCGCCCCTCCTGCACTGAAAACACTTCTTCTTTTAATACGACACACCGACGGCCTCTAGTGGTGGCTCTAGCCCAACATTGGCTAAAAAACAGCTCCTTTAGGCAGGTGGATTTGAAAACTAGGCAGCAGGTGGCGCTCCAGCACAGGAAACGCAGCCTGCCTTGTGAAAGGATTAAATGTCTTCAGTGCTGGAGAGGGGCGGGGCCATTTTGTTGTAGCCTTGAAGAAGTAGGGAGAGGAGTTTTTATAGCTGAAAGAGGCTTCCAGCTGCAGAGTGTGTGGCCAGAGAGGAGGAGGTAATAATGTCTTCTTATTATGAGAGAAAGAAAAGATAAAGGAGGGCCAGTCTGCATGGACTGGGGGAGGAGGGGTCATCTGAGGTCACAGATGACATGTCCTGTATAAATCAGATTTAGATACAATAACAAATTGAAGACAAACTGTGGAAAACGTTATAATCAGTTATAGTAAACATGTTTTGAAAATAGAAATATAATAGAAAAGCTGATCATTGTAGGCACCCCTGCCAGTGGTAAATGGTTTGTCTCATCCCTGTAACTGATACATCTGCAGGACAACTTGGTCTTCTGAAAACACAACAAACTTACGGGCTGGATCACCAGTTGAAAATACAAGAACACCTAAAAAAAAAAGCTAAAGCAGCCATCACATCTAAGAATCGGTAAGCTGCAATATAATCAATGTTTGCTCTGGGGTTTAATACAGCGTTAAACACTGTCAGCGCAGCCAGGGAGCGCGATCAAAACTAAACGCAGAGGAGGAATTCTTCAGCAAATATATGCAAGTTATGTTATTATTTTTAGTATTATGAAAAATTAGACTTTATTGTCATGTAAGTGTACAAGCTTATAGCCATAGGCTGCTCGCCCCTCCCCCAAATCAGGACCCCCCCTCCCCAAAAAAAGAGAAGGTAGTAGGTGCTGAAGCATGCAAATGTGACTTATTCCTCCTTCTCCAACTTATTCCCTCTTCTTCCTTCACCCCCCTCCTCCTCTACGTCTTCCTTCACCTCCTTCTTCACCCCCTCCTCCTCTACTCTTTCCTTCTTCCTTCCCTTCCTTCCCCTCCTTCCTCACCCCCCCCCCCCCTTCCTCTACTCCTTCCTTCTACCTTTACCCTCCTCCTTCACCCCCCTCCTCCTCTACTCGTTCCTTCTTCCTTCACCTCCTTCTTCGACCCCCTCCTCTCTACTCCTTCCTTCACCTCCTTCTTCACCCCCTTCTCCTCTACTCCTTCCTTCTTCCTTCCCCTCCTTCCTCACCCCCCCTCCTCCTCTACTCCTTCCTTCTTCCTTACCCTCCTTCTTCACCCCCCCCTCCTCTACTCCCTTCCTTCACCTCTTTCTTCACCCCCTTCTCCTCTACTCTTCTCCTTCCTTCTTCCTCCTCCTTCTTCACCCCCCTTCCTCCTCTACTCCTTCCTTCTTCCTTACCCTCCTTCTTCACCCCCCCTCCTCCTCTACTCCTTCTTCCTTCCCCTCTTTCTTCACCCCCCTCCTCCTCTACTCCTTCCTTCACCTCCTTCTTAACCTCCCCCCCCCCCTCCTCCTCTACTCCTTCCTTCTTCCTTCCCCTCTTTCTTCACCCCCCTCCTCCTCTACTCCTTCCTTCACCTCCTTCTTAAACCCCCCCTCCTCCTCTACTTCTTCCTTCCCCTCCTTCTTCACCCCCCCTCCTCCTCTACTCCTTCCTTCACCTCCTTCTTCACCCCCCTCCTCCTCTACTCCTTCCTTCTTCCTTCACCTCCTTCTTCACCCCCCCTCCTCCTCTACTCCTTCCTTCTTCCTTCCCCTCCTACTTCACCCCCTCCTCCTCTACTCCTTCCTTCTCCTCCTTCTTCACCCCCCCCCCTCCTCTACTCCTTCCTTCTCCCTTCACCTCCTTCTTCACCCCCCTCCTCCTCTACTCCTTCCTTTTGCTTCCTCTCCTTCTTCACCCCCTCCTCCTCCACTCCTTTATTCACCTCCTTCTTCACCCCCTCCCCTCTACTCCTTCCTTCACCTCCTTCTTCACCCCCTCCTCCTCTACTCCTTCTTCCTTCCCCTCCTTCACCCCCCTCCTCCTCTACTCCTTCCTTCTTCCTTCCCCTCCTTCTTCACCCCCCTCCTCCTCTACTCCTTCCTTCAAGGGGCGTACAATCTAAGGTCCCTAACTTACATTCATAAATACACATACTAGGGCCAATTTAGACAAGAGCCAATTCACCTACAAGCATGTCTTTGGAGTGTGGGAGGAAACCGGAGTACCCAGAGGAAACCCACGCAGGCACAGGGAGAACATATTAAGGACCTATGTTATATATTGCATGTACAGCATATATTTATATCTCTATTTTTTGTTTTATTTTCACATTGTTTTGACCTGTTACAGTGAAAGTGAAGGTAAAATTAATTTATTGGAAATCTATCAAACAGATGGAGGAGGAGAGCAATCACAAGACTAAGAGGATGGTAGACCTCACCCTGGAGATCATCTATCTGCTGACTGGAGAGGTGAGGAGGATTCTGGGAGGTCACATGACGTCACTCTTATCTCTATTAATAAAACACGGACCTGACCGAAGAGGTGAGGAGGATTCTGGGAGATCACATGACATCACTCTTATCTCTTAATAAAACACAGACCTAACTGGAGAGGTGAGGAGGATTCTGGGAGGTCACATGACATCACTCTTATCTCTATTAATAAAACACAGACCTGACCGAACAGGTGAGGAGGATTCTGGAAGGTCACATGATGTCATTTTTATCTCTATTATTAAAAGACAGACCTGACCGGAGAGGTGAGGAGGATTCTGGGAGGTCACATGACATCACTCTTATCTCTATTAATAAAACACAGACCTAACGAGAGGTGAGGAGGATTCTGGGAGGTCACATGACATCACTCTTATCTCTATTAATAAAACACAGACCTGAACGAAGAGGTGAGGAGGATTCTGGGAGGTCACATGATGTCATTTTTATCTCTATTATTAAAAGACAGACCTGACCGGAGAGGTGAGGAGGATTCTGGGAGATCACATGACATCACTCTTATCTCTATTAATAAAACAGAGACCTGACCGTGAGAGGTGAGGAGGATACTGGGAGGTCACATGACATCACTCTATCTCTATTAATAAACCACAGACCTGACCGGAGAGGTGAGGAGGATTCTGGGAGGTCACATGACATCACTCCTATCTCTATTAATAAAAAAACACAGACCTGACCGGAGAGGTGAGGAGGATTCTGGGAGGTCAAATGACATCACTCTTATCTCTATTAATAAAACACAGACCTGACCAAAGAGGTGAGGAGGATTCTGGGAGGTCACATGACGTCATTTTTATCTCTATTATTAAAAGACAGACCTGACCGGAGAGGTGAGGAGGATTCTGGGAGGTCACATGACGTCACTCCTATCTCCATTAATAAAACACAGACCTGACCGGAGAAGAGGTGAGGAGGATTCTGGGAGTGGCACATTACAAGTGGCGCAATTAAAAAAATACAAACCTGAGAAATTTTGGGAAATCATAGATATAAAATACTGTATTGATTTATGGTGAGATGTGAGTTATATAACTATACAGTGACATTTATTTCCTTCTTTAAATTCAGGAATGTATTATAGTGAAGAAGCCATCTTATATCCACATGACTCGCATGTCACAAAGTTGGAGCAGGAAAGAAAGCCCCATGATGGAGCCTCTTATTCCCCCAAGCAATCACAAAAAGATCCTAGAAGTCACCCAGAAGATTATTGAGCTGCTGACAGGAGAGGTGAGCGGTGCCGGGAATTCTGGGATATTCTCCAGTAACAGACAAGAGATGTGTCTGGATGGTGACTGTATCATTGTGTGTGTCAGGTTCCTATAAGGTGTCAGGAAGTCATTGAAGAACACAAGGATCTCTACAAGGACGTCATGATGGGAGAACCGGCCGCCCCTCACATCACCGGGTAAGAGGAGACTTTCATTTCTTGTATTGAGGATCCACCTAGATACACACATCCTCTGATATAAAGACATAGAAACAATGTATTCAGTCAGTGTGTGTGTTTCCTACAGATGGATCCAGTAATGGGAACCCACCAGAGAGATGTCCCCGTCCTCTGTATTCCCGGGACTCCACACAGGACCATCAGGAGATCCCTCAGGAACATCAGGAGATCCTTCAGGAGGATCAGGTAGATGGAACTGAGGGTATTGATAAAAGCTTATATTATTTTGTTCCTTACTCATAGTACAAAGGTTGCAAACAATATAATATATTTTTTCTAGAATGAAGGCCTGACTGTTAAAATAGAAGATGAAGAAGAGTTGTCTGTAAAGGGTGATCATTGGTGTACGGAGGAGAAGATCCCACCAGAGATCAGCACAGGTGAGGAATAAACACTAACTCCAGAGAAGAGTCCCAGATCCTCCTTGTTCAGTCACTACAACCATCTCTTCTTCTCCCCCCTCCTCTGTCAGTAGACAGTAATGGGGGGACAGTATGTGCCCAGTGGGGGGGGGTCAGGAGCCATCAGCCTCTATTAGACTCCGGCTCTCCTCCTCACATCTGGTGTGGCCTCCTTGAATTGCCGATTGAACTGGATGGACTTTTGTCTTTTTTCAGCCAGACTAACTATGTAACATCATGTCATTGAGATGTGACCAGTCTCCTCCCCCACACACACTCTCTGGGGTCTCTCATACATCTCAGTACAGGGGGCTTCACTCTCATATTTATTCACAGATACCAGAATCACTCAAAGAGACATCAAAGCTGAGGAGGAGGAAGAAGGATATGTGAGGATTAAAGAGGAGGACGTTCCTCCAGAGATCAGCATGGGTGAGTAATAAACACTAAATCCAGAGCAATGACCATCTAGTGGTTCTCTCATTGGTTTATTTCTCTTGGTTTCTCCCATTTATATCCTCCAGTTAGGTCTGTGTTTTGATTAGTAGAGATGCAGTGGCATGCCCAATTCCTTACCATGCTCAGATGGTGGCCCTGGCTACTTTAATTCCTTTGTCCCTCAACTGCTTGGGCTCTTAGACACACTCAGGGAACATACGTTTCTTTGCTTCTTTCCCTCAGCAATTCAAGGAGGCCACACCTGATAAGGCCGAGGTAGCTGGGCAAATAGTCTGCAGCCAAGTGAGAGGCCCTTCGTTGTCAAAACTGGCTCAATAGCACATAGCTCCTCCGGAAGACCCAGCTACTGCAAGGAACACCTCCCCAATTGCTTTAGAAAAACAACACTACCCCCACACCCAACCGTGCGGCCCGGGAACCAGTGTGCTGGCTAAACTGCCTCCACACTCCCAATAGTAGAAGTTGTAGTAAGGCCAGCTGGCTACTCAGTACCATCCATAATATTAAAGTCTTTACTGGCTACATAATAAAACACAACAGTAACACCTTAAAGTGTCTGTATATGCAGTAAAGCATGCTTGTTATACTCACTGTGGAACCTAACGTGTTAGTCCTTCGCATTTTGTAAAAAGGCTGTTTGATCCTGTGTTCTCTGATCATCCCCTTCTTCCTTTGTCCCCAATGCATCTGCTGATAGCACAGAGCCTTGGGGGCAAGCTGCACCTGCTCAGTTTGGTTTGTATTGTTAGAGAGTTTTTTTTTAATTGGGAGAGTGCATGTGATCAGCACAGGGCCAATCAGCACTTTCCAGATGGGGGGGGTCAGGGGTCATGCAGCCTCACTGGACAATCAGGTAGAAGAATGTGAAAACTACAAGCTTTAACCAGTGCTCTGTGGGAGACTGGATACAGTGAATGCAGGGTCTGGGGAGACCAGATATAGTGAATGCAGGGTCCTGGGAGACCAGATATAGTGAATGCAGGGTGCGGGGAGACTGGATATAGTGAATGCAGAGTCCGGGGAGACCAGATATAGTGAATGCAGGGTCCGGGGAGAGCGGATATAGTGAATGCAGGGTCTGGGGAGACCAGATATAGTGAATGCAGGGTCCGGGGAGACCGGATACAGTGAATGCAGAGTCTGGGGAGACCGGATATAGTGAATGCAGGGTCCGGGGAGAGCGGATATAGTGAATGCAGGGTCCAAGGAGAGCGGATATAGTGAATGCAGGGTCCGAGGAGACCGGATATAGTGAATGCAGGGTCCGGGGAGAGCAGATATAGTGAATGCAGGGTCCGGGGAGAGCAGATATAGTGAATGCAGGGTCCGGGGAGAGCGGATATAGTGAATGCAGGGTCTGGGGAGACCAGATGTAGTAAATTCGGGGTCCGGGGAGAGCGGATATAGTGAATGCAGGGTACAGGGAGAGCGGATATAGTGAATGCAGGGTCCGGGGAGAGCGGATATAGTGAATGCAGGGTTCGGGGAGAGCGGATATAGTGAATGCGGGGTCCGGGGAGAGCGGATATAGTGAATGCAGGGTCCGGGGAGAGCAGATATAGTGAATGCAGGGTCCAGGGAGAGCAGATATAGTGAATTCAGGGTCCGGGGAGAGAGGATATAGTGACTGCAGGGTCCGGGGAGAGCGGATATAGTGTATGCAGAGTCCGGGGGAGAGCGGATATTGTGAATGCGGGATCCAGGGAGAGCGGATATAGTGAATGCGGGATCCGGGGAGAGCGGATATAGTGAATGCAGAATCCGGGGAGAGCGGATATAGTGAAAGCAGGGTCCAGGGAGAGCATTCTCCACGGACCCCGCATCTCCAATGGGGGAGAGACCTGTGTATAAACAACACAGATCTCTCCCGCCAGCTCCTGCACACTGCTTTGTATTGCTCTGCATAGCAGCATGCTTACAGTGGAAAGCACTCACACAGCACACAGTTAATCCTTTGATCGCCCCACATGCAACCCTTTCCTGCCCAGTGCCATTAGTACAGTGTCAGTTCTTTTTATTAGCACTTATCACTGTATTGGTGTCACTGGGGATGTCAGTGAAACCAAGTCAGTTCACCCCGCACAGTGTCAGAATGCCCACTGCAGTCCCGCTGATCGCCGCCATTACTAGAACAGAAAACAAAAATTCCAGTATCTATACCGCCATTTGTAAAGTCATGGAGCAGAATACATTTTTGTCCTAAATTTATGACAAAATTTGATTTGTAAAATTTTTTTACTGGACATGTTTAATAGCAAAAAGTCAAAAATATTGTTTTTTTCTCAAAATTGTCGGTCTTTTTTTTTAGAGCGCAACAAACAAAAAACGCACAGGTGATCAAATACCACCGAAAGAAAGCTCAATTTGTGGGAAAAGGGCATAAATTTCATTTGGGTGCAGCATTGCATGACCACGCAATTGTCAGTTTAAAGTTACGTAGCACCATAACACAAAAGATGGCCTGGTCAGGAGGGGGGGATCCTCTGGAGGGCGAGGGGTTAATTGTGCCTTCTCTGTTTTGTCTCATATTTACTCTAGATGGGGAACACATCAGGAACAACATGGGGGACATTCCACTAAAGTATAAAAAAGAAGAAAACCTTTTTACTCCAGGCCCTCCTAGTGAAGATCTGTCATCTGATTCCTCTACACGTGGTGCTTCTCTCGATCACCCCACTAATGATCATAGAAAGGGGGAAAAGTTTCCATGTTACATGTGTGGGAAATTTTTCAGCTGGAACGAAACTCTTACTGTACACCACAGATCTCACACAGGGGAAAAACCATGTTCTGTGTGCGGGAAATGTTTTCTTCGGAAATTGTGCTTCGGTCAGCAAGAAAGATCTCACACTGAGGAGAAGCCATTTTCATGTTCAGAATGCGGGAAATGCTTCAACCAGAAGTCAAATCTTACTTTACATCGACGGATTCACACGGGCGAGAAGCCATATTCTTGTTCCCAGTGTGGTAAAAGCTTTCATGTGAATGCCCGTCTTCTCCAACACCAGAGAACTCACACCGGGGTGAAACCGTATTCATGTTCAGAGTGCGGGAAATGTTTTACTGAGAGTTCAACTCTCACTAAACACAGGAGAACTCACACCGGGGAGAAGCCCTACTCATGTCCGGAGTGTGGGAAATGTTTTAGTCAGCGATGTAATCTTGAGTTACACAAGAGGATTCACACTGGGCAGAAGCCATATTCATGTTCGGAGTGTGGAAAATGTTTTACTACGAGTTCAGCTTTTGTTAATCACAGAAGAACTCACACGGGGGAGAAACCGTATTCATGTTCGGAGTGCGGGAAAAGTTTTACAGGGAAAAAAAATCTTCTGTTACATCAGAAAGTTCACAGCGGACAAAAGCCCTAAATACACATTTTTAAACACATCTAATATCTGGTCACTGCGCAAAATTAGGAACCCTGTGATGAAGACATTTTTTGCAGTAACAGTCCACGTGAACATTTAATTGCTTGCATCTCCGGAGTGAAGGAAACTTTTTCAGAGATTTTTGCAGGTTTACACAGTGTCTTGAAAAAGTATTCATACCCCTTGAAATTTTCCACATTTAGCGCTAAAATTCACTTTAGTGATATTTACTGAAATTTTGTGGTAATATCGTGTGACATAAAAAATTGGAACTACCGCTATTTTATTCTCTAGGGTCTCTGCTTTCAGAAAAAATATAATGTTTGGGGTTTTTTGTGTAAACTTCAGGCCTAAAATGATTTTTTTAAACGTGTGCAAAAAAATAAAAAAACAGCTCTGGCAGCGAAAGGGTTAAAGCTTGACCCTATGCACAGAGTGCAGGGGTCAGGAGTAAGTACAATGCCTTGAAGAAGTCTTCCTCCCACTTGAAGGAGTCTTCCTCCCCCTTGAAGAAGTCTTCCTCCCCCTTGAAATGTCCCCCATGTTGTC